TGACAACATTACCTAGTCGTGCTGTAGCTGGTGTTATTAGATAGTTTAAGTCTAAGGTGGAACTGAAGCTTATCATAGATGCTAAAGCGAGTTTATAAAGACTCAGTTCAATTGACGTCTGTGAAACTAGAATTCACAGACACTGGGTTGAAGCTATTTCAGAACGGGGCAGCTAAACCCAGGGCTGTTAAAGAGTTGAGAAAAAAACTATGGTCATCACTGTCTTTTTGTAGTTTGTAGTTTGTGTCGTTTGTGTGTACTTCAAAGTCAAATGCCACATTTGACTTCACCATAGATTCTTGCATAGCTTCCTTGTACCTTGTCCTTAGATTTATGAATCCCTGCCCCTTTTAATCATCAAAGGGTGAACCTCAGGTCCAGAACTCAGAATGATATGAATAATGATAGCATTTGTTGTTCAAATGCACACTCAGAACATCGTCTTCAGCCAAAGAACAAAGAATTTAAAGATACCGAAACAGATTAAAAGCATGAACATTTTCCATTCATTCAAATTTCTAACTAAGTTGAAATGATCAAATTATTTTTTTTAATGATGTTCAGTTTTCTTTAAGACCATTCATTACCTTGATCACAACGGAGACCCACAGCTTTGAACCTGCTTTTCCATTCAGACTGAAGCAGTAAATATACCGGATGCGTCACTGTTCATAAGCCCAGTAAAGCAGCATATGCTGGTATGTTTGAAAACTGAACTTTACACCAGATGCTGAAGAAAACGCTCCACAGCATTGGGGCCCTGAGCAAAGATGAACTTTTGTGACATTAGATAAATTAAACAGTACTATGTGTGAAGTACCAACTATCAACATCTGCTTTGGGTATTATCTTGTAGAAAAAGCACCAAAGACCCTGACCTAAAGTAAACAGTGAAACTGGATGTTTTGTTTCTGTTTCTTCCTATCCCAAACCGGAGGCTACTTACGTCTGAAGTTAGAAACTCACCCTGAATTACGAACAGCGCTGCTTATCTACACACGTAATATGGAAACGACCATATTATATGTCTGGTGTATATAATTTAACTGTTTAAAATAGAAAACTGCCAGGGAAGTAGCCTATGCAAATCGCATTCGCTGTCCAATTTGCTGTCTTATGTGCAGAAACATACGTGGTGTGTAAACCACCTTAAGACTTAGCTGCTGCTCTAATTTAGAACGTTTCTCACTTCTGTTTGACCCAATTAAATAATGTATATTTGTATCAGGGATTTTTTTTTTTTTTGTTAAATCATTACAATGTAGTCCTAGATTTGTAATACAGGATAAAATGCAGCTATGTTACATTAAATTTAGCCCTCTCACTATTTGGTCTTTTTTGTCTATTTGTTCTTACAAACACTTTTAGGCCACCTTGTTTTCCTATGCCTTTAGTGCCTTATTGGGTTTTTGTAAAGGAAAAGCTCCATGAAGTAAAACTCCATAGAAAGTTTTTGCACCACTTAGGATGCCTCCCAGGGAAATTGTATCCTAGCATAAAATTATATCCCAGCTAATTATTCAATCTTACATTAGTGCTACAATGCAAACATTAGTCACTAGGGGTGCTAGACTTTTGAATTGCAGGTTTAGTCCCAAATGTCACTGGCAGCCCTTAAAGTGCTTTTAGTATAGTGCTACTTTAGTAGTAGTAGTGTGGCCTTATCAACTCAGTTAACCTTATTATTTCTCTACAGCGGGGACAAGCTTGTGTGAAAGGCACAGTGTTGTGTAGTTTCTCATTAATATTCTCGTGAAGCCTGCCTTTGTGCAGTTGTACTTTGGGTTGGTTGTTTGGAGATGTTGTTTTCATGCTACTCCTCATTTGCCCCATTCTGCTAATTTGGTGAAAACTTCCCCTGCTGCTTACCAATTAACATTAAAATCATATGAAATGCTGCCTATTAATACCTGCCTCTCTTAGTCCGTCTCTGCCAGATTGTCTAATTGCCTTGCTGAGCTTAATTCCCAGTACTTATGTGCAACTCCTGCTTTCCTTCCTTTCTGTGCCTGCCCTGCCCTCATTGGATTCTAACCAGCTTCTGATTCTGGTCAGAACTTAAACTGCCTATTATCGGCCTTCACCCACCATTGCAGCCTTCCATCACCCTGTTCAGCCCACCACTAGGTTGTTAACCTGTCACCAGCCTGTTAAAGCATCTTCCACATTTTCATCCTGCCACCAACCTGTCCTGCTTACATCTCTAATTCAGTCAATGACTTCAACGTATGTTTAATAAATGTTTTAAGCACAACACTGTGCCTGTCTGAATAATCTGGTTCTCTGAAAATTATTAAGCAGGTCATATGTTTCTGATTTCGAGGGTGGCTGGGGAGACAGGTGAATGAACCATATTCTCTACCTACCCTGTCACAGAGGTTGTCAGAATACTCCATGGTGGCAAGACTTTGGGAAAGCAGAGATCTGCCTCACTACAGAAATGTTTCAGACAAATGAAATATAATGATGTGTATGATGTCTCTGTGTCAACTATGGGTAGAAGACTGAAGCAAAACAAACATGGCTGTGCCGCTCAGAGCTGGAATACACTCTATTTATTTTTAGAAAAACAGGTAGCAGGGTGGGATTTTTACCTATTTAGTTGAGAAGATAGTGCACGTTCCTCATAACAGGATTTGGTAAGAGTTTGATTCATCAGGTAATTCATCAGGAAACATTTTAGACCTGGTTTACTCTAACATCAAAGATGCATTTAGTGCAGCCCCCCACCCCCAACTCAGCTCATCAGATCATTTCTCGGTCATGCTTATCCCTACATATAAGCCCCAGCTGATCAGGGCTAAACCCACAGTTAAAAAGGTCAGAGTGTGGTCTGAAGGCGCCATGGAAACACTCCAAGACTGTTTTGAATGCTCTGGCTGGAACATGTTCAAGGCCGCAGCAACATATGACAACTTATTAAATACTGATGAGTATGCTATGACTGTGTCAGCCTACATCAACAAATGCTTTGAGGACATCAGCATCAAAAAGAACATCCCCACCCAGGCCAAACAACCACCCTGGATAAATGGAGAGGTTCAGAAATCGCTAAAAGCACGGAACTCAGCTTTCAAGTCTGGAGATAAAGAGGCACTGGGAACAGCACGTCCCAACTTAAACTGTGCCATCAGATCAACGAAGCAGAACCACAGCCAGAAAATCCAGGATCTTTTCCACTACGACAGCAATACCAGGAGGATGTGGATTCGGATGATTATGGAGTACAATACACCCTCCACCCCCCCGGTAGATGCAGCAAACACTGACTTCGTAAATAAACGGAACAACTTCTTTGTAAGTTTTGAGGCACTAGACAGCACTCCAGCATTGAAAGCCATTCCACACCAGGGGGAGGAGGCGCTAAACCTGGACGTAGCTGAGGTTAGGAAAACTCTATGATAACATACCCGGGTGAATGTCATACTTCTCAGCTGCTACTGCTGCTGTCTTTGGCAAAAACCTTGTCTTTGGCAAAAACCTTGACATGGTAGGCAGTTACCCAATCAGCTTTAAGAATTACAATAAATGTCCCTCCCTTTTCCACACACTTTCCACAGGAGGATTTCCAGAGCAATACCGTGTAGAATTCTGAATGAATTACATGCATCAATCTGTCTAATGCCAGGTTACAACTGGCCAGCTTAGCCAGCTTATAAGCTTCAGTAAGCACAATTAATTCAGCAGCTTGTGCCGAAAAATGGGAGGGTAAAGAGCCAGAGGAGAAAACTTCAAAATCAGAACATACAGCAAATCCCACATAGTTATGACCAGAGTACACCTAGAATTGCCATCAACATACAAAGTCAGATCAGAGTTGGTCAGGGGAATGAAAGGTCAGGTCTAGGAGTAGACACAGTCTGAAGAATGATGGGGAAGTCATGAGGTCACTATCCCCCTCCGGTGCTAGAAGGCAGGATTTAGAGTGGTGCACCTCTAAAAAGTGATATTCGGCATGTCCAAAAGCAGTGGTGTAATAGAATAGAAAGGTGTGATGTTTTCTGCTCGACGAATGGTGGAAGCAGCATGACGCACTGAGACAAAAACACAATATATCCATAGAAGCCAAAGGTGCACTTTCAGTGGCAGCAACCCTATGAAGGAAGCCAAGAAGGCCTACAACAGGATCCCACTTGGATCAAGGTAAGCCACAGTGCTTAGAGGATTGCTGTGATGTTGCAAGAGAATAGATGAAGCCCTGTTTTCATCCAATATTTGTACAAAAGGCTTTTCTGGCTGCTGCAAAGCCAAGGCAGAGGCCTAACAAAGACAATGTTTAAGCTGACTGAACCCTTCTTCAGCCTCAAAATACCAAGTAAAAAACCTGAGCTGCAAGGTCTTTTCCATGAATGTGAGATAACAAAGGATTCTCAATCAGAGAGTAATTAGCAATCAAATCCATACAGTAAGAGATCATACCAAAAAAGATGATGTGTTTCTTGATTTTCTGCTTAGGAATGAGTAACCAGCTCTCTTCTGACATCAGAAAGAGAGACAGATGAATGAGTGATCACATGACCCAAGATAGGTATGACTGAGTGTGAGTGTGCGTAGTCGTTGAACTTTGTGTTTCTCTGTGTGACCCTGTGATGGAGTAGCGAACCATCCCGGGTGTAACCCGCCTCCTCTCACCCGTGAACTACTGGGATAGGCTCCAGTCCCCCCCTGCGACCGCATTAGAAAATAAGAGGTAAGAATAATTAATTGTTAAACTTAGAGGTGAAAACAAAGCATCGCTAGAGAAAGTTGGCTGCCAGCTCCACAGGCAGCCCCGTCCAGGAAACACACAGCAGGGCAGACGAGCTCAGAGCCCGCTCCCTTGTCAGAAGATGAAGAGAGCACATCCAACTAGTCACAGTCAGGGATACAGGACTACACTAAAAAATAGGCCGATCTCCTGCATCTATAAACAAAGGTGTTGATGGGAGCAGCGCAGCTGATATTTCTCTCCAGGATGGTGTCACAGACAAACAGGAACAGGCCACATCAACTACTATGAGAAAAAGCAGAGAGAGCATAACATTAGAGATTGATCTAACGAATTCTGAAGAGTGGGAGAATAGAGATAAAATGAAGCAGATGATGAAAAAGGGGTCCCTATGTCCTCCAGCAGTGTAAGCCTATAGTAGCATAACTATAGAGATAGCTCAGGATAACCTGAGCCACTCTTACTATAAGCTTTATCAAAAAGGAAAGTTTTAAGCCTACCCTTAAAAGCGGAGAGGTTGTCTGCCTCGCGGACTAAAACTGGTAGTTGGTTCCACAGGAGAGGAGCCTGATAACCAAAAGTTCTGCCTCCCATTCTACTTTTAGAAATTCTAGGAACCACAAGTAAACCTGCAGATTGAGAGTAAGGTGCTCTGTTAGGAACTTAAGGAACAATCAGATCTCTGATTTAAGATGGAGCTTGGCCATTTAAGGCTTTATATGTGAGAAGGAGGATTTTAAATTCTATTCTTGATTTAACAGGAAGCCAATGAAGAGAAGCTAGGATAGGAGAGATGTGTCTTATTATTATTTTTTTTTAAGGTTAGTGGCCTCTGTTGTCTCTGCTGAACTTTCTGTCATAGTTCTGATTCTGTTATGTTTTCTTTTGAGTTTTCAGTTTTACTTTGCTCCATTTTTCTTGTTTTAGTGGTTTAATTCTTATTTTGTTGTGTTCTGGTTGTTTTCTGGTTTTTATTTGTTGCCCTCTGCTGCCCTCTTGTGTTCTCTTCTTTCTTTAGCTCTTTTCCTCTCTGCTCAGTTCACACCTGCTCCCAATCTGCTCGTTAGTTCTCTCTTTGTTTCAGTCTCCCATAAATACACCCTCTGTTCACTTCCTCAGTGCTGGTTCCTCGTCTAACTTCCTCCAACTCCGTCTCATTGAGTCTTCCTCCTCGTGAAACAATCAAACAATCAAACAAACCAAACCCAGATGGTTTTGGTTTGTTTGC